AGAGAGAGGGCGATCAAGAAAAGAGAGAGAGGGCGATCAAGAGGAGAGAGAGAGGGCGATCAAGAGGAGAGAGAGAGGGCGATCAAGAGGAGAGAGAGAGAGGGCGATCAAGAGGAGAGAGAGTGGGCGATCAAGAGGAGAGAGAGAGGGCGATCAAGAGGAGAGAGAGGGCGATCAAGAGGAGAGAGAGTGGGCGATCAAGAGGAGAGAGAGAGGGCGATCAAGAGGAGAGAGAGAGGGCGAGCAAGAGAAGAGAGAGAGAAGAGAGAGAGGGCGATCAAGAGGAGAGAGAGAGGGCGATCAAGAGGAAAGAGAGAGGGCGAGCAAGAGAAGAGAGAGAGAAGAGAGAGAGGGCGATCAAGAGGAGAGAGAGAGGGCGATCAAGAAAAGAGAGAGAGGGCGATCAAGAGAAGAGAGAGAGTAATGTAACCTCCTAATGTAATGTATAACTCCTATGAAAATGTTCAAAAAGTGCTCAAACTTCACATGTGTGCTAACAGTCCAGCCGTGAAGACATCTACGGGACAGTTTTGAGATTTCTTCAAATGCCGTTGCCATGGCAACACAATGCTCACCATGAAACAGGGTTTTCTCATAACTTCAGTGAAAATGCTCGAAATGGCCCAAAACTTCACAGGTTTGGTAACGATACAGCCATCAACACATCTAAGCGTATTATGGGGTGTCATCAAATGCCGTTGCCATGGCGACAGATAATTCACCATCAAGTTAGTTCAAAAGTTTGTAGTTCAAATATTCTGCTTCATTCACTACTACTTACATCTGATATTTAACTCCTTCAGCCTATTTTCAGCTGCAGAAACCATTCAACTATTACATTATTCAGCTATTTCAGGACATCAAGGCTATACATGTTTGTTTGAACCTTTTCTTTTAAATATTAAGCTTTTTCTGCATTTTTGTAGCTAAAAGAGGCTACCATTCAGCTAATAACATATTCAGCTTTTTCTGCATTTTCAGCTAAATTCAGCCACAAATGTTCACAGTTTACAGCATTCGCACGCATTTTCTGCAGGAAATGCATTTTCTAGTTATTTCAGCCAATACTTTGGCACTCCATAACTTCAGCTTATTTTCAGCTACAGAAACCATTCAAATATTAAACTATTCAGCCTGTTCAGGAATCGATGGGAAACCTTCAAATGTTTTAAAATATTGTATACTTCTTGAAATATTCAGCTTTTTAAACTCTTTTTTTAACATGGAAGTCAATGGGAGATGCCTTCAAATCCTCTTTTCCTACACTTTGCGCCAAATGCTACTCCTTCCACATACTTTCAGCTAGACACTTCATTCCAACTTTCAAATGATCACAACACCTTCACCTATTCAAACTTGATTTTTATTTTTGATATCTTTTACACTTTTTGAGATATTTAACTTAGTTTGGAGCTTGGTAGAGAGGCCTTTTTCAGATTTTAACATTAGTGTGGATGGAGCAGCTCGTTAAGTCTAGAGTGCTTTGATCTCAAAACAGAGTGCAGGAGTGCTTGAAATTCTTCCCCAAAAATGTTTTAAACTTGCCATAATTCCCAAACCCTACACTCCTCATACATATTTTTTCATGAAAAACGTAGGAAAACCTCTCCTAGGTTGGAAAATAAAAAAATATTAAGAAAAAATATTAAACAAAATGCCTCTTGAGGGCATGAAGAGACAAAAAGTCCACCTAGCTCCCAATTGATTCCCATGTTAAATCTTTTCCGGAACTTTCTTCAGAACAGAGAGAAGTACACTTTAGACAAACTGCTCCCATCTCCACATTTTACACACAAAACCAAACAAAACAACATATATCAGTTCATTGGGGTTCCCTGATGCTCACGGTCTGGTCATTTTTTGATAGTTTTTGAACAGGTGGCAAAATGGTCAGATATAATCCTCAATGCATTCTTAATGGGACTCAGTGCTGCAGTTGGTAAATCGTCATAAGTCGTCACCATGGTAACCTTTCATCTCTGGGTTTACACACACATGTGTTTGTAAACATTCATTCACTACTACTTACATTTAATATCTTTATTTAACTCCTTCAGCCTAATTCCAGCTGCAGGAACCATTCAAATATCAAACTATTCAGCCTTTTCAGCACATGATGGGGAAACTTTCAACTTTTTCAAAATATGTTATACTTTTTAAAACATTCAGCTTTTTAAAGTCTTTTTTTAACATGGAAGTCATTGCAATGCATTTGAGCTGTAACAATTCACACACACACACTCTCTCACAGAGACAGACAGACAGACAGACAGACAGACAGACAGACAGACATACAGACACACTCTCTCTCTCACACACACACACACACACACACACACACACACACACACACACACACACACTCTCCCTCTCTCTCACAGACACATCAAGAGAAGAGAGAGGGCGATCAAGAGAAGAGAGAGAGGGTGATAGAAGAGTGATAGGGTGATCAAGAGAAAGCCCACAGGATTAAAAAACTGTTAAACACCTGAACACCTGAACATCCACAACATTCATCTGTTTGCAACTTACAAATTATTTATCTAATATATCATATTCCAATTACTTGTATACAGACTCTTCTTGCACTATTTCTATTTTATTTGTATTTACTTGCACTATTTGATCTGTTTTGTTGTGTTGCTCTGTTGGAGGAGCCGGTGACCTCAGATTTTCATTGATATATCTACTGTAACTGTGTACACATGACAATAAAAGCCTTGAAACTTGAATCTTGAACCTTGTGTGTGTGTGTGTGTGTGTGTGTGTGTGTGTGTGTGTGTGTGTGTGTGTGTGTGTTACCCCAGGATGAAGCCCCACACCCAGGGAAGCCCCAACAGGAAGTGAGAAACCACGGCCACGACAGAGGCCTCCACCACGCAGGGGCCGACCGCCAGACGCACACACACCGCCTTCAGGCGACTCAACGCCTGCAGACACACACACAATTATAAGTATAGTATGCAGTATATTTACTGAGTGTTCAGTGGTTGAAAACGTATCCAGGTACTGTACTTAAGTAAAATAAATAAAATGCTCTAAAAACAAGCCATTATAAGTAAAAATCCTGAACTCTGAAGTGTTATTTTATTTTTGCATTATTACAGCTATTTTTGCAAACTTGTATATATTCTTTCAAATGTTTATTATGTTTGCCCAACTAAATGTTTTGCATTTTTCTCTTTTGCACAATCTTTTGCTATATTACAGTACATGAATATTTGCATTTGCATATTTGTAGTTATTTTTGCATTATTTAGTTATTTTCTTGATTGTATTTGTGTGTGTGTGTGTGTGTGTGTGTGTGTGTGTGTGTGTGTGTGTGTGTGTGTGTGTGTGTGTGTGTGTGTGTGTGTGTGTGTGTGTGTGTGTGTGTGTGTGTGTGTGTGTGTGTGTGTGTGTGTGTGTGTGTGCGCTCTCCTAACAGGATTTGTCATGTGGTCAAATTCAGGATGTTTGTTTTTAACTTTGGAGAACATCTATAGGTAACTATAACCACAGTATTGACTGGTTCTCTGCCCACTCAGGTGACGATGGTTCATTCTGCTGAGGCCATCTCTGTGCTGCAGAGGCTGACCAGGGAGCATCCTTACAGGGCTGCCTGGCAGAGCGTCTTCCGTTCAGGCAAAGTTTCTGAAACCACCATGTGTGGGGTCTGCCTGCAGCCCACCCTCCTTCCGCTCTGCAACTTCACCGACCTTCGTACAGGCGAGCCTTGGTTCTGCTTCAAGCCACAGAAACTGAGCTGTGAAACCAGGTTCCGTCAAATGAGGGTGGGCTTTAAACAAATCTGCTTTCTCAACCCCAAGGAGGATCTGCTCTTTCAAAAGTAAGGGGACAAGGAGAAAAGGTGTCAAAATGATGTCTATGTTGCCTTAGACTTGCATTCCCTAATATGCAGCAGAGGGAGGCTCCATTTGTGGCACAAATATGTCTAATTGTATAGAAGTCTATGTGAAAAGGATTGCTAATTTCCACTTCGGTTTTTTACCTCTGGTCGTAAAAAGCATTAGTTTGTCATTTTTCATCATCAATAGAATATTTTATTTACAATGAGATTTTATTTTTTACCTCTTTTTAAATTTGAATAAATGTCAGTTCAATTTAAATTGAAGGTAGATTTAAGTTGTTCTTTTTTTAAGCCATACATTAATCTTGATAACATTTTACCATTAGCCGGCTGAACATGGTCCCTGGCACATTTCTTACATAGGGTCTTACATCAAATAGTGAAATCCACTGTGCGCACAATGAGACGTGCATGTCTGCACACTGTGATATTTCCACAGCTCACTGTCTGTAAATATCATAGGTTTCTGATTGCATAAGAGAGTAAGCCTGCCTTACTCTTTTTTTATGGACCTTTAATGGAAATACTTAGGTACAAATATGTAAAAAAAAGTACTTATACTTGAGTTAATGTTACTTTCCACCATTGAAAACATGTGAACATGAAAATACATACATGTTTTTTGGTCTGTCAAACTGCATAAGAGCTCACTGCGTTAGTGTACGTTTAACTAACTGTAGTCATTCTGCATTCCTAAAACTCATCAAACAACATGTTATTAAGATTAAAAATAGTTCTGACTCGAAGAAAAAAAAAACTGAAAGGGAACAAGTCAACGAAAAATGTCACAATTTAAACTGGGTGAACATGTTTCCGCACCCATGCTAATTTCTTCCAATGTGTCTCACAATGTGAAACCTTTAGTGAAAACCAGTGTTTCATTCATCATAAGTATGGTGTGGTCTCTCTCATGCTTTTGTGTTATACCTGTTTTGTACTTCAGTAATGAATATAAACGAGATCATACCGTAACAGCTCTGTTGGAGGAGCCGGTGACCTCAGATTTTCATTGATATATCTACTGTAACTGTGTACACATGACAATAAAAGCCTTGAAACTTGAATCTTGAACCTTGTGTGTGTGTGTGTGTGTGTGTGTGTGTGTGTGTGTGTGTGTGTGTGTGTGTGTGTGTGTGTGTGTGTGTGTGTGTTACCCCAGGATGAAGCCCCACACCCAGGGAAGCCCCAACAGGAAGTGAGAAACCACGGCCACGACAGAGGCCTCCACCACGCAGGGGCCGACCGCCAGACGCACACACACCGCCTTCAGGCGACTCAACGCCTGCAGACACACACACAATTATAAGTATAGTATGCAGTATATTTACTGAGTGTTCAGTGGTTGAAAACGTATCCAGGTACTGTACTTAAGTAAAATAAATAAAATGCTCTAAAAACAAGCCATTATAAGTAAAAATCCTGAACTCTGAAGTGTTATTTTATTTTTGCATTATTACAGCTATTTTTGCAAACTTGTATATATTCTTTCAAATGTTTATTATGTTTGCCCAACTAAATGTTTTGCATTTTTCTCTTTTGCACAATCTTTTGCTATATTACAGTACATGAATATTTGCATTTGCATATTTGTAGTTATTTTTGCATTATTTAGTTATTTTCTTGATTGTATTTATTGTGTGTGTGTGTACCAAGGGGCCCAGTCCCAGTCCGGCTCGGGTCAGGATGATTGAATTAAGTAGAAGTTCATTAGTATAGTTAGCTTAATACTTAAAACAACATTTAAAAAGTGTTATTACAGCTATTTTAGCATTTCTTTATTTACCTTTTCAAAATGTTAAATATGTTTGTCTAATTACAGTTTCTGTATATATTTGTGTTGCTATATTTCAGAAATGTTTGCACTATTGTAGTTATTTTCTTGATGTTATTTATTGAGTTTGTGTGTGTGTGTGTGTGTGTGTGTGTGTGTGTGTGTGTGTGTGTGTGTGTGTGTGTGTGTGTGTGTGTGTGTGTGTGTGTGTGTGTGTGTGTGTGTGTGTGTGTGTGTGTGTGTGTGTTTGTGTGTGTGTGTGTGTGTACCGAGGGGTCCAGGCCCAGTCCGGCTCGGGTCAGGATGTTCCTCAGCGCTGCAGACCAGTGAGTGTCGATGTAAACGGCGTCCGTGACGTACGGGACGTTACGCAGCAGCAGGCCGGCCAGCAGCATGCCTGCAACACGGGACAATAAATCAATTAAACATATTTTATTATTTATATTTAAAAAACATTATTGGGTCATAAATATTATTTTTTCTTTAATGTTTTTTTCTTATTAAATTATTAAATGTATTGTTTTATGTATATATATAACTTTATTTTAATTTTGTTTATTTAATTTTATTAGGATTTATTACATTTATAGTCATATAAACATTTATAAATATGATCAAAATATAATATACAAATATATCTATACTTTTGTCATATTTTCTTGAATAATTTATGTCATATCTAATATTTTGAAAACAATTATTCGAATGAAATGTAATCATTTTTGATGTCAGTGTTATTGGGGATTCCTTTAGAGAGGTGTGAGGTGTTGGGTCGTACCAAGTAGAGGAGGGAAGGGGGGGAGCGTGGACAGCTGGATCAAACCAACCAGCTTCCCCCCGAGCACCGAGCAGAGGAACAGAACCACGAGTCCAAAGAGGTTTCCTCCAGGTAAACACTCACTTCCTGTTATAGACCACACCACCCCGAAGAGCAGGGCGAACATACACCCTGCACACACACACACACACACACACACACACACACACACACACACACACACACACACACACACACACACACACACACACACACACACACCAGGGGAATGTTACAAATAGTGCAAGAAATGTTTTTAATATTTCCAGAACAAATTGAATTGTGCAAACAAATTACATGTCACATGTTAGACGCTTTTATCCAAAGAGACTTACATACTCAATACTGTGGACAATCCCCACAGGAGCACTTTGGGGTGAAGTGTCTCAGGGACACAACGACATGCTGACTGCAGTGGGGTTTGAACCTGATCCGAACACCAACACACAACCCACTGCACCACATACCACATACCACCTACAGAAATATTGGTGGCAAATAAAATACACACACACACACACACATACACAAACACACACACACACACACACACACACACACACACTCACTCACTCACTCACCTTTCGTGATGACGAGGTTGAGGAGGCCTCGAGGTCGGGGACATTTGTTCTTCAATCGGATACAAGACGAGCAGCAGGAGTCGGCCATCTTTATCTGCTGACAACATTAGCCACATTAGCCACATTAGCCACATTAGCCACATTAGCCACATTAGCAACATTGATGACAACTTTAACAGTGATAGCAACTTTAGCATGAGAAACAAACTTTAGCAACATTGATGATCACTCTAACAACTGTTGCATTAATGACAACTTTACTGAGCAACTTTATGAACTGCAACGCTGATGAAAACAGGTTGCCATGAATCCTTAATATCAGAGTTTCCTTGTTAATGTTTCCCTGTAAAGCCCAAAAATAGAAAAACATTAGAATGTATTTGTTTGACCTTTCAGATGCTGTTGTTGAGCCTCTGGAGCAGAAAGGAAAGAGTTTTCATATTTGTTACGTTTTGGTAAGTGTTTTGGTGATAATGCATCGTTGGGCTTAGGTGGGAGCAGCTTTCTGTATTTCTACTCACATAGTCTGAATAAATATATTGAACAACTAAGGGTTGATTTGCAGGATTGATTGCTTACTTAGCCCTATATCAGTATAGCATGAATAATAATCACACATCAGTCATATTTGTTATGAATAGTCATTTATTAAATATGAATACAATGGTAGTCCCAAAAACAGTTTCTGTTGTCAGAAAAGCAGAGACGGGCGTCACACTTGGTGCATTGTGTGTTTGTGTACCCTTCACTGCAGTGTCTGCAGCGTCCTCTCTTGGTCTTCACTGGACAATGTGCCACTAGGTCCTTGTGTACATCCAGTGGAGGTTGTGATCTCTTGGATGGGGCCCCGTTTGATGGGGCCCCTGAGGATGGTCGTCCTCTCTTTGGTGTATTCATGGGAGTTGTGTTCACCTGATTAGAACACAAATACATTAGGATACAAGTCAAAAATATTACAGTGAAATATAAAAAAATATTACAAATGGCAAATAGCAGAAATGCATTCTTACCAGGATGAGAGAGGATGCTAGATCTGCCTGAAAACTGTCTCCTGTTCAGGATCTCCTGCTTTGCCATCTTTAGAGCGCTGCACCCCCGCTTGTAGAGGAGCGTTGATCACAGCAAGGATGATGGTGTGCCAGAAGATGTACACGTACCAGCGTCGGGACTTCATGGGGAACTTATATTTGGCCGTAAATGAGTCCAACAAATCCACACCTCCCATGTACTTGTTGTACGTAGCCACAATGGAAGGCCTCTCAACTTCTACGTAGGTTTTGTTGGCTTTGTCCCAGCGTTGAATGTTCTGCACAGGCTGTGGTCCAGCAAAGGATGAGCCAAGTGAGACCGCTCTGCTGTCACACCATTTGACAGCACAGATGTTGTGGTTGGTCTCCACTCGGATGCCAAAGCTTCCTCTCCCTTTTTTCTTCAAGCTCTTCTCCTCTTCAAGGTTGCAGTTGGGTTCAGTGTTGCCAACTTGGCGACTTTCTCGTTAAATCCGGCGGCTTTCCAAACCCTCCGGCTACTTATTTTTGTCAAAAGCGACTAACGACTAATCTAACGACTTGTAATGGTGTTATTAGGGACTTTTCTGGTGTTTGGAGACTCACATATTGTTCAGCAGTTAACGAGCCGCGGGTGCTGCCGTGAGCCCCTCTGCCCTCCCATAGTACTCACAGGCGCTCAGACTCACAGTTGCCTCCCGCAGCAGCTCAGCTGCAGTCAGAGCAGAGAGGAGACAGCCACACTCCCGCGTCGAGACGGCAAATGAATTGCGCATGAGCGGGATTTAAATGTAAAATGTAAATGTTTCTTCACTGTCACACTATAATAAAGAACTGCCTTTGCTTTGCTTTGACTCACACAGCCTCAGTCACTTAATCACCTCGTCCACTGTGTGTGTGCCTCTGTGACAAGCTAAACATCCACGTAGGTCATCATGTCACAGTCTAAACTGTATTCACAAAAGTACAGAAAGGAGTGGGAATCAAACCCTGAGTTTAAAGGATGGTTGAAGCCATTTATTGGAGATGACACACGGGCATACTATACTGCCTTTATTTTAAGGGAGGTTTCTACTAAAACTACTTTCTACTTTTTCTAATAGAGACATTTCTGATCTACTGTCGTCTGGATTTACTCTGTCTGGTGGTTTCAAGTTTTGATCCTTGAAGGGGATGGAACTTTTTTTACCGCTCTTACATGATATGCAAATTAGGCGATGACGTCATTTAGGGACTTCTGGCGACTTTTCGGACAGCCAATAGCTACTTTCCTTACTATGGAGTTGGCAACACTGGTTGGGTAAGCACACCTGCCTGGCTCTTCCCACATAATGAATCCCGTGATCAAGGAGCTTCACTACCAATGGGACACAGGTGAAGTAGTTGTCTGCATAGATCTTATAGTTCTGACCTACTGGAAGCGTGGAGGCAAGCTTCATCACAACATCACCCGACAATCCAAGTTCAGACTTGACTCGTATCCCATTGACACCGCCTCGGTACACTTCAACGTCACAGATCATTCCAGAGACTCCAGTTCTCACACTTTGAACCCCCATGGGTGTGGCTTGCCTCGCATGTAAGGAATCATCATCTCATCCACAGAGTTGTGTTCTTCTGGCACCACCTGCAGGCATTTCTCTCTGAATGGATCACAGGGTCTGAGTTTCCAGAGTTTGTCTTTCTTTTCCATCTCTGACACCGTCAAGTTGTTTACTAAATGTAATGATGTCATCACATCAGAAACAGGCGGGTACCGTGTCTGTCTCCCAATGCATACGGACTCCAGACATTTCTGGCTTAGCCTATTATCATGATAAAAGGAATACCTCCACCCACACATGCAGGTAGACCAGTTCAACAAGTCACACAATGCAGTCTGGCTAATGCTAACATGCTAATTCTCATACTAAAAGGGATCCATCCAAGTGTCCCAACACATCTCAGAAAGAACTGTTTCTGCCAGAACCAGAGAAGAGTTCAATGAATTGTTGTAACTAATTAACTGATAAGATACAAGTAGAGTTTATGAATATGAATATATTCGACATGAACTAAATATGTACATGTTCTAGACATTGTAATAATCACACAAAAAAGTATTTGAGGCATTTGACTTACAGTACTTGAATCTGACAAATCCAGTCCAATAAAACAAAGAGAGCTCGTTTGAAGATTGGGAAGTTGTGTGAGTGTATGTCCAGAGGGCAGGACCTATACACACATGTACTACCCAGTAGCAGAGAGGCTGAACAGAAGGACCGTTTGACTTTGTAAATGTAGTCTTTAAAAAAACAAAACATTTACTGATTTTTTTAGGATAGCTTAAAGTAATGTTGTAAAATGACAACAGTGGGCCTTACAGGGTTAACGTTTTATTTCAACAGATTTCTGAAACATGGAACGTCTCCTTCTGGATCTCTCTGTTCCAGTGAGGGAAC